ATACAAACCCTTCTATTGCTCTGTTTCTGTGACGACTAAGGTGACTGCGTTTGCAGCGAGAACTGTCACAGTTCGAGAACGCTCCTGACCTGAAGAGATTCTTCAGGTTCTCTCGTGTCGACCTGGACTTTCCCCATCTCTTCTTTGCCCAGCTCTGCTTCAATGGCAGAGTCCTGCCATCGCCGGAGGCAAAACGACACATCATAAGCCCACTAATTACTAGCGTTTGCTAGCTTGTGCGCTACAACTGGCCACACGATTCGTTTGGATCCGTTTGGATCTCTTGGCTCCCTCCCCACAAACTGTGGCAATATGACCCCATTACTTACTAATTACTGTACTAATGATTGACAATATAATAATCCGTCTCTCTTCGCAAGTGCTCCACAAGGGTGCGCAACCTCTGAGCTCGACGATGATCTACTTCTGCAACCATTGACGTCCGCGTTTTCGGAGCCTCGGATGATCTCCGCAAGTGTGCACCCAGGACACATGGGTGTCAAATCGCATGTATAAAGAATAGTATAGAGTATAGAATAGTGTTATATAATGAGCCAGCTCCAGCTTGCCAAATTCATCCGACTCCCCTTTCCCGGCGAGGCTCGTTGAGGCTCTTTTAACGCTTCGACCCGTGTGTGAAAAAGGCTTCCAGATTCCCAGGTGTCTCTGAGAGCCTGCTCAGGGTGAGCTGGGAAACAAGGTCACGCGCATAGAACTGACCGTTGCTCTTGCAACATGTTGTTTTCCTCATGTTTTTCTATGCGTGTTTGGTTGTGACCGGTTGTGATTCTTGAGGAACTTTTGTCCTATTGCTCAAAAAGACTCTGGCCAGCTGCATTTGGCAGTGCAAGAAAAGAAGAAAACCCATCAACAACATTCCAATCTCGCAGGGACGCCGGCACAATGAACAAGATCTTGTAAATTCACGCGTTTACAGCGAACGTTGACCCCACCCACCCCACCTACCCACCTACCAATATATCACAATATATCCACAACACCGACAAACCCGCAACACATGCAGAGCAACACGCACGGAAGCTCACGGCCAAACATCAATGCGTGTCTGGAGACAAGTTTGAGCAGCCGCTCAGAAAATGCACAAGTAATGAATGACATGCCACTATGATTTGACAACAGCCTTTGCATAAAAAAGGATCTGTCTTAAGCTGATTGATCTTCCGGTGAGCTTGTGTGCAGCACTCCCAGAAAATCGCAAGCTGAGCATTGTTTGCAATAAGTACTACCAAATATGGAAAAGGACGTAATGCATCAATGACCCTATTCTTCTTGCTTTCCAATTTTGAAGCACATGGAGCCCACATGTACGGCCAGCCTTCCAGTTCTCATTATCGTCATCTCCTGCGCATCTAAAAACAGTCTTTAGGAAATAGCCTCCCACACTTGAGGATCAGAAAGTCTGCATGTAAATGGATAATGTGGACACCGACTGCAAGCCTGCATTCCCAACTAAATCTGGCTCAGCAGGCATCAGTCAAACCACAACTGTTGCGTGAAACAGTCTCGCCTCCAATCGCAGAGGTTGAAGCACTCCGCGGCCGGGAGAAATTGCCACTTACAGCTGGTACGATTTCTTCACCTACAGCTGGGAGCACACCGGGCACACAGTGTTTCCGTATACCGTAAATCATGTTCATCAGTTCCTTTCGCTCGTCTGAGTTTTTCCTATGTCGAAACAAGAAGCTTTCCTAGTAACTAGAAGCTACTAAGTGGAGGCCATCGCGATTAGGTTGGAGGCCATCGCTACTATAGTAACATATAAGCATTAAACCGCAACAAGCACCTGCAAAGTTCCTTTCGCTCGTCTGAGTTTTTCTGTCGACAATTTCAATCGAACAACACAACGCATCACCACGCATCGCGACGCATCGCAACCCGCCATGCAGCTTGTGAGCCTCGACCAGTTGCGCTCAAGAGGAAAGACTGCCTCATCCAAGGTGCTCTCGGCGGGACCGAATCTCTGTGATGGCTACTTTATCGACTTTGTTGGCACGCGCTTTTTTGAGCCGACTTCCGATGGATCTTTGCCCGTACTGGTGGGATATGACCGCTTGTCAAAAAAGGAGCACTAAAGAGGACCCAAGCTTGGTCAAGGGAAAAGCATCAACTTTGAGGCAAAGGTAGTCTGCTTATTAACTTGCGTGGTCCAGGCCTGGCAGTGCTGCTCTTCAAGGGCGAAAACTCTCCACGTAAATGTCTCGCTTCAAACCTTCAAGGCAGCAAAGACGAGCTGCATGACAATATGGGCAGTCGATGCTGTTGCTCAAACATCTGATTCCTCCCTGGTGCTGACCCCATCTCTCGTTCTACAATGAGAAATTCTTGGACGGGAGTCTCACATAGAATGCAATGCATCAAAGAGGGCGGCACTTCGGGAGACCCATCATGTTCGAGAGAGAAAGCTCATTCAAAGCTCATTCTAAGGACGCGCAAAACCTCTGATACAAAGGTGTAACGCCTTTCATCTTCAATCATTACGTATTCAATCTTGTGGGGAATGCATCTCGTTGTGCGGAAAACTCTGCTTTTCAAAGCCTCTCGTGATTGGCTCTGTCATTTGTTGAAAGTAGATCCCATTTGTAGCGGGCCACAACCATGTTGCAACATGTTGGGTCAACGGGGGGGGTTAGCCCCGCCCGTAACATGTGGTCTGGTTTTTTCGGGTTGGGGGGGGGGGGGGGGGGGGGGGTCAGTTTCATCCTGGTTACGACTCGCGTACATCGTCTACGTACTTCATTGGTCCACCCGGTTCCTTGTAGGTTCGCTCGGTCACGATTCGTTCGCTGGACGACCCGCTTGTCTGGGACCCATGCTGCTCGAGAAACAGAGCAAAGTTACGGTCGTTGGTGGAGACCAAGGTACAGAAAGCTTGGCAGCAGTGATGAAAAAATCACTGCGTAGAATGGGTTTGCTTGGCCGTTGCGACGCGAAGCTCAACGCCAGCACGTTGAAGGCCTCGCAGCGTTGTGGTTCAGCCAACATCCTGGGTTGGACGCAATGCTCGAAGCTGTGCAAGACACTTGTCCGCCAGCTGCCATGTATACTGAGCTGAAATGGCTCCACTGGGACCAAGACTAATGCCTAGCAGGTGGAAAATCCCTTTCGCGCCATGGACAAGGAGCAGGCGGGTCGGTGAATACGTCCGTCAAAATGCATTCAACTTGTCGTCTTGCAACTCATGAGTTGCAAGACGATAAGTTGAGTGTCCGGAAAGCCACTTTAACCTGTAAAAAACAAGGTTTTTTGACCCTCGGTGCGTTGCGTCCGGGGCTAACCCCCCCCGTTTACCCAACATGTTGCAACTTACCCTGCACACTCTGCCAACAGTCCAAATTTTAACACAAGTGACTGCCCTCGTTGTGCTTTAACATCCACAAGCTTCTTTCATGTTTGTGTGTGTGCGTGCGTCTCTCTCTCTCTCTCTTTCTCTGTTTCTCTGCATATCATTATATAATCTCCTTACTTAATTCCAGATGAGCACGATTTAATTTTTAGGTATGAACTTCTAAAAAGTTAGTGAACCTGGGAGTCTTTAAAGAGTATTGGCCATTGGCCAGCAGGCAAGGCCACGAGCAAAATACATCAACTTGGAGGTGTGACACATCTCAAACGGCCTGGCCTACTTTGCTTGTCATGTATCCTCTTCAACTCCTTTCTTTGGGCCTTGCAGTAGGGGCTCCATTGGATCACAAGGCTATGGATGCATTCCGCATCGTTCCGCAATCCCATCTCACTTTGGAATGAATGCTGGCCACGACTCCGACAACCAGCCGATTGCCTCTGAAAGGCGTGCGGCAGCCCCGCAGTCCTTGCCGGGGCAGGATAGGAAAAAAAACAAAAACAAGACCATGTTCGTAACAGCGTGCACACCCATTGTCCCATACCCTCCAAGCAACAACAACTACTACTACTACTACCACCACTTCTTCAAAAAAGAACGCTTGGAGATGTCTGACATAGCAGAAAAAGTTCACCGAATCGTACAACTGCTTGGGCTCACACTCCCAAACAAGCTGGGCTGTACCATGCAAGACTCCAAAATACACCAAACGCGTTGCTTAGCACGCTTGAAAAACAGAATTGCTTCAGCAACGCGTAGAATCCATCGTTTAGAGAAATTCGAATCGCCCTAAACGACATAGCATCCATGGCTGCTCGCGGACTCGCGTTATACGGCGAGGCTAGCCTAGTAGCCTAGCACCACCTCACCAAACACATACCCCTTGCAGCGAATACTGGCAGACCACGCAGATCAGAAAGACCGGAGAAGATATGATCAGAATGAAGCATATGGGTGAAACGCGCTCCAAAACGGCGTTCCAAAACGAGGTGGTTTCCTTGCTTTAGTGGGAATTGATTCAATCTCTGGACATTTTTCACACTTATATAAACTTATCCTGTTTTAATCAGGTCCGAAGACCGTTTTGTTTCGCATGTCTAACATTTCTTGTGGGCTAACCGTTATGACCTTTTAGTACTCCACTACAACGTGGAAGGGCTTGCCGGTGGGATTCGTGAGCAAGTCAGTGGTGCCATCTGCTTTCCGTGACGTGACACGGTGTGTCTGCGACACAAGACGAAAAACGATGACCTGAGACCTGAGACAATGAAAGTGGCAAAGGTGGGATGGACATCTCAAGGCTGCGAAAGAAACATCATGAACAACTGATAAGATAAAGGTGCTATGCCCATCTATGCCCTTTGTGCAGCCTTTTTTTAACGGGCCTGCGCACCTGCGAGACCGCCGGTGGTTCCCACCAGCATTTGCGAGGTGGGATGAGTTCGAAAGGAAAGCGACCCAAAAGTTCCTCCCAGCAAGTGGATAGTCCCCTAATGACTTGTTTGGAGTCGTCGCTAGCGACAGGCGAAACATTGATGAAGCAAACATCCACTATGCAGAAGGGGGTTCTATGCTGTTGGCCCTCCTGCCACCGGCGCATGACAAAGCCAATGATCAAAAGTTAGGCCACCGCGAATGTTTGAAATATGTTGAAATTTGAAAGAATGCTTCAATCACCGTGCCTTCTTGAGGACACTCTCGACGGACTTCACTGCATTCATGCAAGAGATGACGCGGTCGTCGCCGACGATTCTACTTGAAAGCTTCACGGCATCCAGGATAGCCCGAACCTGCGCAATTCTGCTGCAATCGCCTCAGGTTGCCAAGCATTGCAGTGACATTTCAACATGGCATATCATGGCATATATCGTGTGTCGTCCGCGAATTGGGCTTGCGCATATCGTACCGAAATTGCCAACCCGAACTTGTTGCAACGTCGCCTCCAAAGACCTCTTCAAGATGTCTGCGTCCAGGATCTGGTTCGGTCAGCATACCAAGCATGAAGTCCTGGTGGTGATGTTTGATGGATTTTGACAGTGCCTCCCAAGTCGAAACACTGCGATCCCAAATCAAGTTTCCAGTCCCGGGCAGATTCCAAGCTCACCAACAGGTTGTGTTCTGGATTGGCCAGCCTTATTTAGCTTGTTTGCCCAAGGCCAATTCTCACTCAAGTATTGTATCGCCAACTGGCAGACGTACAGTACAAGTACTTGTTCAAATTTAAGGTTCCAGACTTGACAGTGCTGCCTCTGGCTGCGCTGATTTGACGCCAGGCGACCTGCACTGACTAAATCCAATTGCATCTGTATATGCAAATCGCAGGCGGGAAACTGCCTAATCTATATATAGGATTTTTATAAATTGCTCTAGGCAGCCTCACCCCAACCCCCAGGTGATATATTGACCAATTGCATCCAATTGCAATCCCCAAAGCTGGATCAAACATGCACCTGTTGATTTCCACATAACAACCACACAACATCACAAGCAACGCTGGCTGTCTATAGTCTACCCCCACGCCTCCATCATCTGAAGGATATTGTCCATGGAGCTGGCGGTCCTGCACGATGTTTGGGCTGCTAGTGGCGTGAAAAAGTCACCAGTATCCACAACTGTCACCAGTATCCTGGGTGGGTTCTCCAAACCATGCTCATGGGGCAGGAATAAACTCAACCTTGGACAGTTCGAGGCACCCAGCCCACGTCGCACGCTGCCCACACCTCAGACTTTGAGAAACAGTACAGAAGTGGAGAGCTTATAACTTATGGGATCGTCGCCGCATAAATCATTTCTTTAAGCCCGCTCTGCCCTCCTACTGCTACTACTTAATGAAGAGAGAAATTCGCTACTAGAAATAGGAAGCTCCGAAAGAGGGTGCAGGATAGTTCACGCTCGCACAAATCATATGGTTCCTTGAGGGACACTAAACCTTTTCAGAACTTCAGTGAGAAGGAAGCACCCTCTCCAAATGTTATGAAATGCTGGCTCAAAAATGAATCCAAGTCGCTGTTGGAGCGCACTCCTGCCCTGTGCTTCATCTCACATGGTGCCTTCTTTCACTAAACCCCTGCACGAAGTAACGGGCATGATCGCGGCAGGCACAGTGTCACAGTGTGTGTTATATATTATGGTTGGCGCACCGTGTCCAAGCTTCGATTATTGATGATTCCGGAATTCAATATAGTTAATATAGTATAATATAGATTAATATAGTGTCCTGAGCACGTTTTAGTCAAGGTTGCTCATTGGTCCACTCCCAGAAAAAGAAGCATGAAGAAATCCCGATCAAGATGTGTCCCATTCAGTTTGCCACTTGAGCCGAAACACACCGTGCCACAAACGTGCCGCTGTCGCTCGAAGTTTGACAATAGAAACAACGTGTAAGGCATTGTACAACTACCCTCCGGAAACACAAGTTTGCCTTCCATGTCGCAAATCACAGTAATTTCATTCAAACTCTAACCCCTTTCGTCACAGACCTGTCAAGCAAAGGGAGTCCCGCGGCAATCTTGGCAGTTTTGCTTGCGGGCACGGTGAGGGCAACACAGCAACACAAAAGAGTATATACACAAAAGAACCGCCGATGATGCCCCACTGAAATACATGGTGCACCCCGGTGCTGATCCAAAAGCACTTGACACGTGCTGATTTCGTGCCCGCACCTTCTCTCCATGTGTGGAGCCCAGGGCACTCCCTCAAGAGCAAACCCAGCAGGGATGCAAAGTTATTCAGCAAATAGGGATCGAGGCTGAGTCCTTGGCATTCCTCGCACTTTGCTGCTTCTGCTGTGGTGGCTCAATTCTTTCGACATCCCAACCACGGATTGGAACTCAGACTCACAAATACGGCTAGCTCTCGGCCGGATCAACATCGGGCAGCTTTCCACGGCTGATTGGATATGGGCCATAGCACTTCCGCTTTCCATCCTCGTCTTCGCCGTGGGTACATGTGCCACATCGTGCGACTATCAACTGATTGCCTCCGGTCGGCCCACCAGCATCATTCCTTCCCACCCGGTGCTATTCGAATCAAATCGAGCAAGCGAAGGTCACAGCCTCTGGTGCCGTCCACACAGTGTGGTTACAAATGGTTACAGTTTGTTGGACAGTTGGACCTGTCCTGCCTGTTCCTCTGTCAGTGACCATGAACTCCGTCCGTCAACGATTGCGGTCTTCCAACGGCTCGCATTTTAGGAGAAGTGAGGAGTCTGATCTGATCCTTCGAACCCACTCAGACCCAGGCCTGCCAAGGATCCTTAAGGTGTGGAAAGCCTCCTCGTCCCAGTGCGGGAAACTAGCGCAAAGGCCAGCGGCGTCACAGCGCTTCTTTAGGTTCTATAATAGGGATAATAGAGTGAGGCATTGGGGAGCATGATGGAGCATGTTTTCATGTTAGACCACCTTTTCTCCAGCCTTGAATGGGACGGCTGTTGGATGCTTGCGGTTTTGGCATGCTGGTTTGGACCACAGACTGCAAAAGCTGCAGTGGTGCTGCCAGAGCCAGTGTGGATGCAAATCTACACTTAATAAGATTGGAGAAGGATGTTGGATCTTCTTCTCATTCGCGGCCACTGGATAGCTTTCCACTTGCCAAAGTGTCTTGGAAAACGAAATGAAGAAGCTTCAAAGTGGAACGGGGTACTGTATTACTCCTCGTCTTTTCCTATTTGCAATGTCTGGATAGACCTGAAAGATCTTGAAGTTCAAAAGTTGCAGAGTGGAACCATTAAAGCCAGTGCACCGCATAGATCTGCACTTGATAAGATCGGAATTCACTCATGCACCGTGTACCCGAATACTTTTCCTTTGGCAAAGGACACCGGTATTCACCACAGCCCCCCAAGTCTCAAAACAAGAGTTCTCTTAGGCTTGGACAGGTTGAAAGCTTAGGCATCCATGGGTTGCTTTGGGGTATGTCAGGGCTACGTGCCCAATCTCCTTCAGGACTGTCTTAAGCCCGACCACCATGCACCCGTCACGGGATGAACCCTGCCAGAAAACTTGAAACTGATGGCAGGTCCTCAGGTCTCACCTACAGCTTCGTTGACAATATATATATACACAGTGGAACGAGAAGACAAACATTCCTCAACTGAACACACCTGGCAGCGACTGAGGGAGTGCAAATCCCAATCAAATCCAACATGGCGGCGGACCGGCTGCGACCGTCACCCGCTTCCCAGCTCATCTCGCATCTTTGCTACCCGCAGTCCCGCAGTGCCGCGACGCGTGCCGCAATGTTCAATGGGCGGGCATTTGGATGGAAGAGTCACGAACATATGCCGTTACAAAATGTATGGAAGCATGGAAAATGTGAAGACGTTTTTTGAAGTCTCTATGGAAAACGTACAACATTACCTAGTGGGCGGTTGCTCTGCAGGGGTGAGATCGGTGAAACAAGGTCCCACGCGACTTAGTTCACTACTTCTCGAAGGCCTGGCCACAAGAATTATTATAGGTTTTGTACAGTATGGTGTTGTTATATGATTCTTGTTACTATATAGTAGCATCCTCTTGTTACTCGTAGTAAGGCCAGGAGCTACTAGTAGCGTCCTTGCTCCTAGTAGCGATGCCCTTTGTTTCTAGTAGCGTCCCCTTAAGAACATCCAAACCCTTGTGACCTTGGTTAAATTGTTAAACTTTTGAACAGCTGCTCGCTGTCGCTTTTGTTTTGCTCGTGTTGCTTGTGCATACTACCTACCACCTACTAGCGACGGCCTCCAACCTTAGGCG